TAAATTAAGAATACACTTAAAATTCATAAGGTTAAAGTAATGCTCTGAAATTGGGGCAATGACACCGTGAGGCCGGGCTGGTGCTCCCAGCGTCCAGGCACGCCGCCCGTCTTCCAGCAGGTGGCAGAGCTCCTCAAAAAGTCACCGGACAAGAAACGAAAAAAACGAGAGCAGCGAGTCTTCCAAAACTGACCCCTAGATGTCTCTCTGCGACCACTTATACCCGAGCTGCTGTCTAAACCGTAACCGCATAGATAAGATCATCAACACTTTCTACAAGGAGCAAACATGCCATGGAAGAGGTGAGCATCTTCCGCCTCGCGTGATGCTTTAACCGCAGCGTAGCCACCCAACAGGAAAGGAGATTATAAAACCGTGAACTAGGGTGACAGCTCTGAATACAAGAGACTTCGAAACACAGTGATTTGTCCCAAAATAAATCTCATTACAATGTTGTTCCCGTGTCCAATAAGGTTTTCTGTTTGAGGTGGTCTTAAGTATTTATTAGTCCCGTATGATCGTATTTTTTGAGCTAATAGCATTAGAGCTAACGCCAGGTGGACACACCAGGCTAGCAACTCTGAGCCTGGTGAACGGGGCCCTGGGAACACCCTGGAAATCATGGGCATTCCCAAAGAGCAGAGGGACAGCCTGGCATCACGCCTTTGCTATTGCTTTTCTCACACGCACATGTACACACATGCACATACGAGCGTGCACACACACGCGCTCACATTTAGCTCTGCTCACATCACTGAGTGACACACTTAGGTACGCTGGGTGCGTATGTCACCCCATCTACCTCCCCAGAGAAATGGGCTTCTCCTTGCTATGAGGTTCAGAATATATGAGCGGGTTTCTACGCTCACTCCGGTTATTTCCCCTTTTATATTGAGGACTGTTTACCTCTAAATCATCCTAAGAGAAATAAGGAACCAGTATTCAGTATAATCTACAGATAGAGAACCTCATGTACTACAAAGAAACACTGATTTCTCTTTTAGGGGTTGGTTTTCTTTACCTTATCTGAGACCGAATTAAGTGATGAATTAGGATTACAAATCCAAACTACACATCTGTGTACAAATAGGAATTTACGCAAACCATGAGACGACACCACACCCTTGTCATTCAAACTTCAAATCTCCATACAATAAACACTTTGTTTCTATCCAGTTTAAAAATTAGCGAAGCGTTGTAACAGTCTCCAGATACCACAATCAAACTAACGATACTCTGTAACCACATGTCACTCAAGGCAGTGAATTCTGCCCCAGCCCAGTCCAGGGTGATCCTGCCACACATTAAAGTAGAGGGAGGCGTTGTGCGTTTTAGGAGACAGGGCACAGCTCAAGAGGGAATTTCTGCCTCTGCCAAACCACAGCTTCTCTGGTGTTAGATTTCCCTGGTGCTAGATTCCTAAACTCAGCAGTCAGCATCCGCATGGCTTTTAACCCACCCAGAACACCTAAGTGTACACAAATCTCTGTGCAAGGTGAATAACCCGAAGGTGCATTCTCAAATCTCAAGAATTGAATTTATTTCCCTATTTAGCAAAGTAAGACTCTGTCTTTCATGAAAAAGACAGGGTCCAGGAGAAATCCCACTGGTACGGGGGGGGCTGTGGGGGAGGCATGGCCCTCCTACCAGGTCCCAGTCCTTTAATTTACAAAGTTTCCCACAAATTATCTTTGTCAGCTTCTTCAGAAAACAGAGAAAATGAGAGACTGTCACATGAGTCACATCCTAATAAAATTCATGACAATTAAGGAATTACATTGCATGGGCTTCTGATGTCCATACACCCCACAGGAGACAGGTCAAGGAGAGGACCCTCTCGTGCGGTTCAGCTGCAGGGAATCCCCTCCTTCCCCCATGATAACCACTTGGGTTTGTTTTGCCCAATGAAACATTTCAACCTGGTGTCCTGGTGGTGTCTCAGCAAAGATTTCTGTCCCTGGGCAGGAGAGTCCTTTAGTCAGTGATGAATGCCCACTTTTCCAGGGGATCCCTCCAGCCTGCAGGACAAGACCTTTCCATCTTGTCCTAGAAGAGTCCTAGCAGTAGGCCTTTGGGTGGGGACTTGACTTCCCTTCTGCCATTTGTACCAGACCATCCTGGCGCCAAGTGCTCCCTGCTGTGTCTGAGCAGAGCACCTGTCTGACTCACGCCATCAGCTCGCAGGCCCTCCCGCTCCTGACAGCAGACCAGACCTCACGCAGGTCTAGGTGGGACTGGTGATCATGGAAACCTGTGTAATGACGCACCTCACGCAGGATCCTGAACACATCCGCTCGCCCCAGCAGGTGCGGGGACATTTCCCGACTCGGGTCTGTGTCCTGTGACGAGCCTCCCTGGACATGTAGTTGCAGACTTGGCTCAGTTATGTATCTGTTCCCCAAATCCAAGTTTGTTTGTTTGTTTTCAAACATAGTGAATGACTGTTCAACATTTTAAATAGACTAAAGAACACACACTTGAGCAGGCTACCGTGTGTTGTAACTACCAACGTGTAAATAACAAAATGACGCTCTTGAGTCTTGCACACAGGCTCTGTTTAGAGTGAAAGGAGAAGATAAAAGCACATGGCAGTTTGTGTTTTCTCTATATTATATCTCTAACAAAATGTGCCTTTTGCAGGAACTGGGGTGGAAAGGGCCAGGAGGACTCCTGTTTCAATAAACCAGGTGCCCAGGATGGAAGAAACCCTGACAGAAGGAAGCAAGCTCAGAACCCTTGCTCTGAATTATACTCGGGTTTACAGTTTATGGAGAAATCTAATGCATATTCATATTTTCCCGTCTCCTACAAATACTGTTCTTTTTAACATAAAGATGCACCTAAATTCCTTTCTCCGATATTTAAGTTAGTGACTGTTGGGAGACGAACAAAGGGATCATTGAAATAGCTCGGAAACCTGTGAGCACGCCCAGCGCCGCCTCATCCCGAGATTAGGAGGTTCGCCTCTGACAGCGCACTTTCCTCTCGCAAGTCTCAACTCCACTGCTGCTGTTTCCCCCCTGGCTCTCCCAGCACCTGTTGGGAGCAAGGGTAGAGCGGTCGGATTGCAAATTTGTTCTTTCCTTCCTATTTTAAGTAAGGGGGGGGGAGAAAAGTCTGGAATGGGCAGGGCTGCTCGAAAAAACACAGTTGAAACTTTACTTTTAATTACTCCTCAAATGGGCCATTTTGAATATTTTTAGATTTACTACTATCTACAAAATTAAAGTATTTTTGTTGGTCGCTAGACTCGCTCCTTAAAACTTTAACCAAGCAGTACTCACAATGGTGTCCGCTGTTTAAAAACACAACCCAGGAAACTAGCAGCAGCTGGGATGAATATTGATGCCTTTCTGCTGAAGAAAACAGCACCATTTAAGAGCAGATACATATTGGAAATGGAATAATTACTTGTCTCTAAAGGCCCATTCACGTTTTGGTGTTTTGGTGGTGTTTTTTTTTTCTTTTTTCATAAAATACATAGTGTGACCCATGAAGAGATAAAAACGTGTCAAGTGCACTTGCGAGGATATTTTTCATGGCTCCTAAGGACAGTTTTCCTTTTGTTCCCTGCCCCCCACT